TTTGGGTAAAAAGTATAGGCAAGTATTCTTTGTGCTGCTTTTACTCTTCCAGCTTTTCTGTAAATACAAAATTATTTCCAAAGAAAGTGTTTAAAATGTATTTGTTTGTAAAAGTAACACATGCCCATGATCAGTATTTAAAAGGATCCAGAACAAAGAACTCCTGCAACTATAATAAAAAGACAAATGACTCAGTTTAAAGATGCGTAAAAGACTTGGACACTTCAAAAAGGAAGATAAGAGAATGGCCAGTAAGCATATAAAAAAGTATTCAATATCTTTAGTCATCAGAAAAATGAAAAGTAAAACTCCTGTGAGGTACCTAACTGCATCTGCTAGCATGACTTAAAGTAAGATTGACAACACCATATGATGAGGATTTGAAGCATCTGGAACTCCATACAGTGCTGCTGGGAGTGGAAATGTTTGGAAATGTCTGGAAGTTGTTTTCTTGTTTGTTTTAACTAAGCATTCATTCATCCCAAACCCAGCAATTCTGTTCCTAAATATTTACACATGAGAGATGAAAACCAGAAAAAGGTGTCTGCAAGAATGTTCATAGTAGCTTTGTATTCATAATAGCCCAAATCTGGAAATAATACAGGTGTCCTCCAATAGGAGACTAGGTAAGCACATGGTTATCTATATGAATACTATGCTGTAGTAATGTATAATGGACTACTGATGACTGCAGCAACAGGGATGAATTTCATCAACATTAGACTGACCCAAGAGTAGAGACTGTATGATTCCATTTCCATGAAGGCCATGAATAGGCAAAAGTGATTTTTCGTGATAGAGATAAGAACAATCGTCTCAGTGGGGTGGGAGGGCATTGTAGAGTCAGGGTTGACTAGGAATGGGCACAGAGGGCCTTTTAGGGATGTTGGACATTTTCTGTATCTTGGTAAGCATTTGTCAAACTCATCAGAGTTTTACTCTATGTAAGTTATACTTCATTTTAAAAGTAAGCAAAAGGACACAAGGGTTATACATTGATCCAAGGGCATTCCCCTGTATAAGGGCAATGTATATCACACTCAGGAAATTCAACATTATTGCAACCCTTCTATATCTACTATGCAGTCACATTTAAATACCCCAGTATTGTCTTTCATTAACATTTTAAATCCGGTTTCAGCAAAGGATCACTCATTACCTGTTAATTTTTTTTAAAGTTTTTTTTTGTAGTTTTACTGTTTTATTAGCACAAATACGACGTGCACAACAAGCTGTCTATTCATTTTCTTCACTGCGCAGCCTGGCGTTGCGGTTGGTGACTCTGATTGCCAGCTGGGGTGCTCTTTCCACAATAGCTTTGCGGTTCTTGGAGGAGACATTGTGAGTAGTCTCTGCACAGTAAGATTTGTTGCACATCAGCAGCACTTCAAGCTCCTTGACGTTGTGGACTAGGAACTTCCAGAAGCCAACGGGCAACACGTGCTTTGTTTTCTTGTTGCTCCGTAACCAACGTTGGGCATCGAGATCTGGCCCTTGAATCTTCTGCGCACCCTATTGTCAGTGCCTCTGGGTTTCCGCCAGTTGTGCTTAATATTGACATAGCAGTCTGACTGGTGCCGGATGAACTTCTTGGTCCTCTTTTTAACGATCTTGGGCTTCACCAGAGGTCTGAGGGCAGCCATGATGCCCAGTAACCGATGGCTGCCACCTCCGCCGGCAGCGCCGAGGAAGAGAGCTGAAAAAACGTTTCTTGATAGAAAATATCCTTGCAAAAAAATTAAAGTCTTGAGTCTGAGAGCATATTATCTGATGCCTATAATTCTCAGTAGCCCGTTTCATTGTTTTTTCAGATGGCTACAGTTAATGTTTGGAAATTTATGATATCAGATGTCTGAAGTTTACATGGAGAGATTAATGATCTTTAAAAAGGCAGAATTAGAATTGCAAATCTTGCTTTCATTTTCTTAAATGTTTTGTTTGATACATGGCTTTGGAAATTTGGGGTAGTAGTTTGAATTGCAAACAAGTGGGCAGTATTTCTGTTTAATAATGAGATTTGTAATCAACACTAGGTTCCCCTAGACTCTGGGACCTAGAGGAAGGAAATTCGCTTTTAGTGACTTAGCTGTCAAAGTAGGATTTAGCATTATAATTTTTTAAATGTCATATTTTTGATCACAAAAAACAATACATGCTAATTGTAGAAAATACCACAAATCAAAAAGAAAGTCCTCACAACTCTGCCACCTAGAGGTGCGATGGCTAACACACGCGAGGAGTGTCTCTTGTCTTTTGTCTGCGCACACATGCTCACATGCTATTTCTTTTTAAATAGATGATGTAATCATAACGTGTAAATTTAACTGCTTAATTCACTTGGTGCGTCATCAGCATTTCTCATTAAATATTTTACAGTTTTACTTCAAATAACTGTCCACAGTAGTGTTCCTTGCTGGAAATTCTGGAATTGTTTTTTGTTTTAAAACTTTTTTCTTGTAAAAATGTAAAAGACGTGCAACATAAATGTTCAGCTTAATAAATGTCATAAAGTAAACACCCTCGTACCTGCCACTTAGATCAAGTCTTGGAGTGTAGCTGGCAGCCAGCAGCCCCCAGTACACTTTCCCACTCACAGCTCCCTTCCCCTTAAAGGTAGCTACTATTCTGTTTCAAAGTTCTTTTCTTGCATATCTTTATTGAGTCCCAGCTGTGTTTGCATCCCCCAACAGTGTAGTGTAGTTTTGCCTGTTTTTGAACTTCTTACAGAGGGAGTCATTATAGTATGCATTCTTTTGTGTCTGACTTCTTTCATTCAACATTTTGTTTTTCAGATTCACCTATATTGTGTAGTTCATTCTTTATTGTATGCTTCCATATTTTGATTCTACTGATGGTGGGCACTTCGGCTGTGTACAGTGCAGGTTTTACAGATGTCGCTGCCGTGAACACTGGGTGTGCTTCATGGTGTGTGTGTGTGTGTGTGTGTGTGTGTGTGTGTGTGCACGCGCACATGTATTTCTCTAGGGAATCCAAATGTAGGACTGACATTGCTGGGTTGTAGGATAATGTGGCAAATAATGCCAAACTGTTCTCAGATGGTTGGATCCATTTTCAGTGTACCTGTTTCTCATCCTCAGCACTACTTGGTATTGTTAAACTTTAATTTTAGCCATTCTTATGGATGTGGTGATTTCTCCTTGTGGCTTAATTTGCATTATAATGTGTTTTCCTTATTGTTAGTGAAGTTAGACAGGTTTATGTGTGAGTATCGGCCATTTCGATATCCTGTTTGGTGCAGTGCTTAATTCATAGTCTTTTGCCTATTCTCTTCCTGGGTTTCCTTTTTCTTACTGATTTATGTAATTTAGATACAAGATCTTTATCGGTTATATGAGTTGCCGATCCCTTCTCCAACTTTCAGTAGCTTGTCCTTTTAATTCCGTTAATGGTGTCTTGTGCAGAACAGAGGATCTTAATTTTAATGTAGTTCCATTGATTGACTTTCTCCTTTTAGGGATTAATGCTTTTCATGTCCTGTGTAAGTCTTAGAAATGGAAGTGTTGGCCTAAGAGCTTTTTAGATTTTCACTTACAGTGTACTCTGCCACTCTACATGAACCTTTTGAGACCATTTTCACTCTCACCGACAGTGTGGGCGTGATGCCCCCACCCTCGCCAGAACTGGAGTTCTTTGTCTATTCATTAATGAGTATTGTATTTTAGTTTGCTCCTGAAACTCGAAGAACTAGTTTGTTGCATCATTCTGTGCACATGGCAGCCACTAAGCATAATTCCAAGGTTAATACTAAAAATATTCTTTAGCTTTTGATTCTGAGGAACAGTTACAGTGGTAGGAGAAGAGGTAAAGATCTAAAAAGCCATTTTCTTTTTATTAATTTAAATCAGCATGATTTGGGCTTAAATTAATGACAGTAAATTGATGAAGATTTAATATAGTGGATCATGGGACCCATGAAATTGATGAGTTAGAATTTTGTAGATTTCCTTTATAAGTTCCTGGTGTGTTTGTAAGAGGTAGAATCATGACTTTAACAACTCTTCTTTACACACTTTATTAAAGAAGACATCCTTACCCTGACTTACCTCTTGCTTCTCCTTTCCCACCCCCCAGTATTCATTCAGAGTCCTTTCTGATTGTGAGGTGGGAGGTGGCCCCTTGGTTTTGCCTGGGAATGAGTGGAGTTGAACTCAGACTGCCACAGAGCCCATTGAAAGGAGCCTCCATTAGGAGATGAAATCTGGAGTGGCGCTCTCCTCCGCTCTCCTCCACTCTCCTGCGCTCTTGCCTGCTTTCCTCCATTTTCCAGTTTAGGTTGCCGGCACTTTCCCGGGCCTCGCAGACAGAATCTTAGTCCCTCAGCACAGTGTCTCACCATCGGCCCGGCTGTTTACTCTTGACCCTCATGCACCTAGTCCCCCTGCTTAATCTGCAGTTGCCTTGCATTTGGAATGTTCTTTCACATTTGCTCATCCCATTATCTAGAACTCCCTCCTGTCTGCTACTGCCAAGCCATCCACCTGCTAGCTAACTTCTTTTAAAACTCAGCTTAAGCAGCACATCTCCTTGCAGGCCTTAGCTCCATGCCCTCGTTCCTCCAGCTCACTGAGTTAGTTGCCCCCTCTTCCGGACTGCCACAGCTCTCTCTGTGCCTCTGTTGCTGTGCTTTGTATTGTAAGAAATTTGATTTCCTTTCTTACTCAGTTGAGCTCCTTGGGGGCAGGGCCCCAATTCCCTCTTATTCTGCCCCTCCTGCCCCTCCCCCCCGGAACTAGCATGGTGTAGCTTATAGGAGGTGCCCCATAAATATTTACTGAGTGGACTGAATGCGAAATTATATCTAACTTTTGTGATGTACATATGAAAAGAACTTGCGGAGAAAGAGGTCAGTTAGAAAGGGTTAGGAACTTACCAGTATTCTAAATCTCTCTTCTCCTAAAGCAGTGCATGTTTAGGAGTGACTGCTGTGTCTGTAGGATCTGTCGGGTTTTGCTCACCTGAGTTGTGCCTTGCTGTCACAGAAGGACGCCCTGCAGTGGTCCCGCAGTCCGGCTGCAGTGGAGGGAGAAGAGCCGGAGGACACAGCCGACGTGGAGAGCTGTGGGTCTAACGAAGCCAGCACTGTGAGCGGTGAAAACGACGGTAAGTACTCATCACAGGATGGGCCGAGAGCCACAGGCAGCTGCTGGAGACTAACCTTTGTTTCCCTCTCTGCCAGTTTCTCTTGATGAAACGTCATCGAATGCATCTTGTTCTGCAGAATCTCAAAGTCGGCCTCTTTCCAATCCCAGGGACAGCTACAGGGCTTCCTCACAGGTAGGGAGGAGAGTCGGTGGCTAGGCTGGGGGTAGGTAAGCCCACGTATGAGACTCTGCCCCTGCAGCTAACATGTCGGTAGAGTGGAGCAAATCAGTGTGGTCTCCACCTGTTAGTACAGTTACAAGTGGGCAGTGGATCTGAGAGCAGAGTGGTTGGTTTTTCTTCATTACCACAGATGGATAGTTTCACTCCTACTTTCGACAAACAGGGAACTTGGATAGCACAGTGCAGAGTGGGGGGCACGCGAGCTTGGGAGTCAGCACTTGGAACAGTGGCCCTGCAGCTTGCTAGCTTTGGGACTTTGGGCAAATTCCTTATCTATAAAACAGGGTGACCATACATTCCATTCTGCTTGGGGTGGTGTTTGGCACAGGGGCCAGCACCTGGCTTAGTAACATGAGTTCGTGCTGCTCCCACCGTTACCCACCTGAGCTGGTTGAATATGAACTCCGTTGTAGCAAACGGTGGAGACAGGGTGGAGAGGGACCACTCTTGTGGCCCTGCGGGTGATTCAGGTTCCTTTTGTAATCCCTTGGGCATCTAGGCAAACAAGCAAAAGAAAAAGACTGGGGTGATGCTGCCACGAGTTGTCCTGACTCCTCTGAAGGTAAACGGGGCCCACGTGGAATCGGCGTCAGGTACGTGCAAACTTGTGATGTGATGCTCCTTCCTCAGGTCTTGGGGCCTGCCCCGCTCTGGCAGCAGTGTCTGACCTAGGTGGCGCGGTGCCTGTGGAGCCAGGAGGGCCTCCTGGTGGGCAGCACGCCGTGGTGGTGAGGCCTGAGCTAGGTTCCAGTGCTGGGCTCTGCCGTGCACACCACCCTTGGCCTCGCAGGGCAGCGTGAGGGTCCGATGAAGGAGTGTGCAGGTGCTCAGTAAAGGTGCAGTGCTGTGCAAACTAAGATGGCGGTTTGGCGTTCTTACGGGATAATGTCAAGCCAGACCGTGAGGTGGTGATGTCTGACAGCCCAGGGTTGGGCCACGGAAGCACCCGCTATTGCGGGCAGTGTCTCAGGGAGAGCTGGGAGAAGTGAGCTTGTCTGAGAGCCCTGGGCGCGGCGGGTGATGCTTTTGACCAGTGGAATGCTGTGCCTTCAGGGTTCTCGGGCCGCCACGCCGATGGCGAGAGCGGCAGCCCGTCCAGCAGCAGCAGCGGCTCTCTGGCCCTGGGCAGCGCTGCCACTCGTGGCCAGGCCGAGGTCGCCCGGGACCCTGCCCCGCTCCTGAGAGGCTTCCGGAAGCCGGCCACAGGTGAGTGGCTCGGCACTCATTTCTCTGCCTGTAAGGGGGGCCCCTGCAGGCCTTAGTGCTAAGAAGAGGAAAATCTTCTGTCCCGCTTCCTTTACCAGTTTATTTTGACTTCTTGGGTGGCCCTCTGTTTTTTTGTTTGTTTCTTACCTTGTAATTTGGTTATTTCACATGTAGATCTTCTCTGCTAGACTGTGAGGGAACTTGTGGGCAGAGATGGTGCCACATTGTTCCTTGTATGTCCCCGTAAGGGCATGGCCTGTGCCTCCCTTGGTACTGCTTAGTGTTTGGGTGAGTGAAAATTGCTTCTGAGATTATCAGTGAAGAATTCCAGCATCCATTTTCTTTCTTCAGTAGCATCCTGTCACTTTTGTTCTTAACATCCAAAGTTCCGGTCAGGCACCCTTTTTTCTAGCCTAGTCATAACGTTGAGTGGAAGGAAGCCTGTGTTGAATTTGAGGTTGCAAGCAAATTCAGTAGCATGCTCCTCCCACCCCTCAGTAGGGCGATTTGCAAGGCCAGTATGCTGTTTGCTAGTTCAGGATTTATTTCTTAAAGCCCACATGCTGGTTATTTGTAGCTAGGCCACATGAAACCATTAAGAAGACTAGCCTTGGCTTCTGAAAATTAGAATAAACCATTGCCCAAATGGGAATTGGGTTTGCTGTCTTGCTGCTTTTCCAACTCATCAGCAGTGCTTAACCTTAAGGTCTCATAGGTCTCTATTCTTAGTGATTTTTTTCAAATAAAAGTAACTTTTGTGGAGGTTTTTGTGAGAGAGAGAGATTGACATCTCAGTGGCTTTAAACAGCCTAGTACCTTTCTGTGTGGAGATCATAGCTCTCCATCCCGTTCAGGGAACGCTCCTGCAGAGTTTTCTGTAGTATACTAACTAGATGCGCTTTTAGACAGCTTCCATCGTTTCTCCAGCTGGCTTTGTGGAGCCTGTTCTCCAACTTTGGAGGGAAGCTCACAACCTGCCCCCTCCCTGCTTTTCTTTGGGAAGAGTGTCCTCTTCAGCCTGTGTCACAGCATGGTACAGAGTCTTCTCTGAGAGGATGTAGGCCCAAGTGTTCTCTTGGGTTTGATGGCAATGACAGTAACCTGGACAGAATAATTGTGACGTGTAGGTTAGGGTGGATTGGATGTGTGGATGTGGACCAGATAAGTTCTGGGTAGTTCGGGTGCTGCCACTAAAATTTATCCCTCAGTTGGCATTTGCTGTTTTTCTTTGAAAAGCTGAAAATCTATACCTTGCTTCTTGCTGCTTCAAAATCACAGGTCAGATGAAGCGCAACAGAGGGGAAGAGATAGATTTTGAGACGCCTGGGTCCATTCTTGTCAACACCAACCTCCGGGCCCTGATAAACTCTCGGACCTTCCATGCCCTGCCAGCCCACTTCCAGCAGCAGCTCCTCTTCCTCCTGCCTGAAGTGGACAGACAGGTGCAGATGGGTAGCCACCTCTTTGACTCTCTCTGGGTGGGCTTCGGTTCCCTTTCTGAGTTTCTTTATTGTGCTTTCCACCCTGATCCTTCTAGGTGGGGACAGATGGCCTCTTGCGTCTCAGCAGCAGTGCACTGAATAACGAGTTTTTCACTCACGCGGCCCAGAGCTGGCGGGAACGCCTGGCTGATGGTGAGTGGATGTTCTCAGACTGCTTGAGTGGTACCTGCCATGTGTGGTGTCACCTGTCCTTGGTGTTTAAAATCCAGACATTCATTTTGTGCCTCTTTCCTCCCCCCCTTCCCCCGCCCAAGGGATATTTAGTATAAGGCAGGCTTTCCTCACAATACCGATGAATGTGGTGGGTGTTAATGTGCTCTGTAGCTTTAAAGAAGGTACAGAGTGTTTGGGCTTTTGCTGTTTGAGTGTATGTCTCCACCTGCATCACCTCATCATCATTAGAGGTCTAAACTCCTGGTCTTTCCAGGAATGCTGGTGTTGTCTAGATGGGTGGAGGAGAGTGTGCCGTGGCATTGACTTACACGTTGAGTTCTACTGGGTGCTCTGTCTTTTTAGACGTTGCCAGTTGGGGTGGAGTGATTGTCAGCTTCTCTTAATATAACTTTATGGGGAAGCTACGTGGGGAGTGTGCTGGGAGGTCCTTAAGACTCCCTCTAGGTTTGATGATTCACTAGGAGGCCTCACAGGACTCCTCCTGCAGTTGTACTCATGGCTGTGATTGATCACAGTGAAGGAATACAGAGCAAAGTCAGCAAAGGGAAAAGACGCTTGGGGTGAGGTCCAGGGAAACCAGGCGCAAGCTTCCAGTGTCCTCTCCCAGAGGAGTCACACAGGATGTGCACAGTTCTCCCAGCAGTGAGTTGTGACAGCACGTGTGAAATGTAATCTGCTGGGGAAGCTTGTTAGAGACTCGGTACCCAGGTTTTTTTTTTTTACTCAGAACTGATCGTGTGGGAAGCCTCTGCCTGGCACATAACCAGATTCCAGATTCCCCGAAGGAAAGCAGGTGCTCGCCATAAACCATCTTGTTTGCATAAACAGTTTAGGCACAGTGAGCCATTCATGTCATTTATGGGGGTGGGAACCCTCCTGAAATCCAAGCTCCCAGATGTCAGCCAAAGGCCAGCCTTGTAAGCAGGCCTTTCCAAGAATAAGCCATCAGGCCTGGTCTGTTAACCTTTTTCTGCCCAGGGAGTAAGAATGGTTCTCTTGTTTATTTGTTTCTGTTTTGCTTTTTTGATCAGTTGTGTTGCTTGTTGTTGAAGACTGATTATCCGAGGGAAAAGTAAATTTCCCTCATCATGGACGTGTTCTTTCATGACCATGAGCATGATGTGGCTCTGGAGGAGACAGGAATGAGTGTGAAGGAGATAGGGTTAAAAGAAAAAAGAGCTCCACACCCACCAACGTCATGTGTATTTTGAGAAGTCCTGATGTGGTGGAATTGCAAGATTTGGCTTTCCATAAGACAGACCTTAGTATCCTGAATGCACACACTCCAAAAGCTTTTATTTCTCTTTAGGTGAATTCACTCATGAGATGCAAGTCAGGATCCGACAGGAAATGGAGAAGGAAAAGAAGGTAGAACAGTGGAAAGAAAAGTTCTTTGAAGACTACTATGGACAGAAGTAAGGCCCTCGGTGCTGCGGGTCCTGGTCTGGGCTTTGGGGGGCAGAGAGACAGATGCTGTCCGAGTCGTGCATGCCAGCACGTGGGGTGAGAACAGGTTGGCTGTGGTGGCTTGCCCGGCTTGTTAAGCTTAATGCTGTTGCATAGGAAAGCTAACATACATTTTTCTATGGTTAGTGCTATGTAGCACACAGATTTATTTTGTTCTGAGATACCTAACAGCTACAATAAAATAGGCATGCCCTCTTTGCCCTGTAACTGATGCTGTGAGTTTGGTTTGCAGATTGGGTTTGACCAAAGAAGAGTCATTGCATCAGAAGGTGGGCCATGAGGAGGCTGACATCAAGAATGACTTGCATGTCCCAGGAGAATCAGCACGGCCACAGCGTGGTCCAGCCACCCGGCAGCGAGATGGGCATTTTAAGAAACGCTCTCGGCCAGATCTCCGAACCAGAGCCAGAAGGAATCTCTACAAAAAGGAGCCAGAACAAGCAGGGGTCACTAAAGACACACAGTCTGTGGCACCAGACATCCCCCTCTACAAGGATGGGGAGGCTGAGAGCGACTCAGCAGAGGCAGGCAGCCCTCATCTGCCTGACACGGCCTCTGTAGCACCCGAACCAGAGAGTACTGAATTCCTGACCCAGCCTGTGGCTTCCCGGACGCAGACCGATCCAGGCGACCTGGCACGTGCCTCCGTGTCTCCAGACAGGATTCCCAGCTTGCCTCAGGAGACTGCGGATCAGGAACCCAAGGATCAGAAGAGGAAATCCTTTGAGCAGGCGGCCTCCGCATCCTTTCCCGAAAAGAAGCCCCGGCTTGAAGATCGTCAGTCCTTTCGTAACACAATTGAAAGTGTTCACGCCGAAAAGCCACAGCCCACCAAAGAGGAGCCCAAAGTCCCGCCCATCCGGGTAGGAGGCAGTTTGATTCCTGGCTGTCCTGGGGCCAGGTTCCCTTCAAGGGTCAGGAGATGTGCAGAGCCCCTTTGCAGAGACAGAAGGCTCTGGGCGCTTGTGTTAATTACGTGAGAGTGTAGAGCCCTGTACAAGAGAGCCATTCATGAGACTGACTTGATGGTCAGGAGGATAAGGTTCTTTTCTTCCTCGCTGCTTTGTTCACTCTGTTGAAGTTCTCTCTGGAGGTCAGAATCCTTTGGGGCTTTTAAATCTTTTATTAGGTGGTGTTAGATTCTTTGTGCAGTAACTCACACAGTCCCACCAGAAATTAAATTTAGAAGCATGGCATATGACAGCCCTAGAGCAGAGTCGTCTAAGAATGGTGTGGTGTCACGGACAGCCATTTTACTGCCATTATTTCATTTTTAAAGGAAATTATTTGATTCTTGAGGCCGTGTCCCCTAAGCTACTAAAATCTTGGTTTAGCTGTCCAGTTCCTAGGTCAGATCACCCAGTCAATTAAAACTATTTTCCAATTCTTCTCTTGCAGATTCAACTTTCACGTATCAAACCACCCTGGGTGGTTAAAGGTCAGCCCACTTACCAGATATGTCCCCGCATCGTCCCCATCACGGAGTCCTCCTGCCGGGGCTGGACTGGGGCCAGGACCCTCGCAGACATTAAAGCCCGTGCTCTGCAAGTCCGAGGGGCGAGAGGCCACCACTGTCATCGAGAGGCGGCCACCACTGCCATCGGAGGGGGGGGTGGCCCGGGTGGAGGTGGCGACGGGGCCACCGATGAGGGAGGTGGCAGAGGCGGCGGCAGTGGTGATGGTGGTGAGGCCTGTGGCCACCCTGAGCCCAGTGGAGCCCCGGGCACCCCTGGAGAGTGTGCGTCAGATCTACAGCGAACACAACTACTGCCGCCTTGTCCTCTGAATGGGGAGCATATCCAGGCTGGGACTGCCCTGTCCAGAGCCAGGAGAGAGGACCTGATTGCTCTCAGAAAGGAGGAGAGCTGCGCACGGCAGAGGGTTCCAGATGTCCTCACAAGTGGGCTGGAAGATGCCTCCCAACTCCCCGTTGCTCCCCCTGGGGACCAGCCGTGTCAGGCTTTGTCCCCACTGTCCTCCCAAACCCCAGCCCCGGAGAGATCAGTTGAGCAGTGTACGTTGCATCTAGATGTTAGAACTGAACACGAGTCTGGTACCGCTTCCTTGGGAAGCGATGATGAGGATCGAGGATCCTCTCTTCCCCCAGAGGGTTGTCCTGTGCAGTCTCTAGTGGGGGATGTTGTATTGGAAGGAGGACCTGGCCAAGCTCGAGACCAAGACAGTATCCCCACCATGAAGGATCCTGTGAATGTGACTCCTAGTTCCCCCACTGAACCACCATTGGCTGGTTGCCTGCAGGATAGACTGTGTGATGAGGAATTAGGACTTGGTGACTCATGCCCATCCATAAGGGAAAGTGCTACTAGACAAGAAGACTTGACAACTGAGGCCCTGGTCTCTGATGGTGCTGCTCCTTGGGTGCCTGGCTTGTCAAAGGATGAGGCAGTGGGACAGCCTGGACCAGACTCTAGGGAACATGTCCCATCTGTTGAGCCCCAGGCTGTGGAAGAGTGGGAGAAGGCTGCTCCCCTCATTCCTGCGTTACCTGGAGAGTTGACAGCTGGGGAGGGGCTAGGCCTCCCTAACCACTTCCCTTTGCTCTGGACAGTGCCACCTCGAGGGAGCACTGATGACAGCACTGGTAGCGACTGCAAACAGGTGGAAGGTGGAAAGTTGAAAATCAATGGAGACTCTGAAGCCCTGAGTCCTCATGGCGAGTCCACAGACACGGCTTCTGACTATGAAGGCCACCTGTCTGAGGACAACAGCGAGGCTGACCCCAATGAGGCCACCGTGGTGAAGAGAGCCTTGGTGGTGGACACAGATGAGAAACACAGTTGGAACCACTCTGCCTCACTCTCCAAAGTGAATGGTGACCAGAGTCTGGTTACAAGGACAGACAGCATGGCTGCTCCTCAGAGCTGGGTGTCTCGTGTATGTGCAGTCCCCCAAAAGATTCCAGATTCCCTGCTGCTGGCCAGCACCGAGTACCAGCCGAGGTTCATGTCTCTGGGTAGGCCTGGGTCCTCAGTGGAGGCCACTAACCCACTTGTGATGCGGTTGCTGCAGGGTAACTTGCCCCTAGAGAAGGTTCTTCCTCCAGCCCAAGTCACCGGCAAACCTGAATCCCCATGTCTCCTCCTTATGAAAGAGCAGAGCCTTGGCGGCTCCCTGGGAGTGGGATCTTTGCAGGATTTGGCAGAAAACAGTTGCGCAGTTGGCAAGAGCAGCTCCCGTTCTTTAAGAGCTTCAAAGGAGCCTCTTCTACCTGAAAGCCTTGAAGCAAGCACTGGTCTTGCCAGGCTGGAGCCCACCCAGGCTCCTGGAGCACCCCAGAAGATTTCCAAGACAGTCACAAGTCTAGACTCCCTCTATCCAGGGACAGAGCTGACGGCTGCCTCTGGGAAAGTAGAAGAAGTGGATTCCAAAGAGCGGTTCTCTCCTGCTAGTTCGGAAGATCAGAAGGAAGCCTGTGACATGTCCCAGTGCAGTAATTCAAATGCTGCCCCAGGCAGAAGTCCTGGAAATCTCACTACCTCGAGAGCCCCTTGTTTCTCATCTTCAAACGCAATCTCCTTGGCTCCCGATCAGATAGGTCGGGCCCTGGGTAATCAGAACAGTGCTGGAGGCCAAGGGAAGAAGCTCTTTGGCCCCAGGAATGAGGCTGCAGCCCTTCCGCAACCCAGACCCGTAGAGCCAATGCCACTGCCCGCTGATGCCCCTCCTGGTTTTCCCAGTCGGAAGTTGGGGCCAAGCAAAAACTCTGTGTCCGGTGGGGTACAGACCGCCAGGGAAGACTGGGCTCCAAAGCCACCGCCTGCCTCTGTTGGCAGCATCAAGAGCGAGAAGACTTTTGGGGGGGGTCCTCTCAAGGCAAATGCCGAGAACAGAAACGCCACTGGGCCTGGTCCTCGGGAACTAGTGGATCACTTGCAGGGGATGCCCTTTGTCCTTGACCTGCCCTTCTGGAAATTACCCCGAGAGCCTGGGAAGGGGCCTGGTCAGCCTCTGGAGCCTTCCTCCATCCCCTCCCAACTCAATATCAAACAGGCATTTTATGGGAAGCTTTCCAAACTCCAGCTAAGTTCCACCAGCTTTAATTATTCCTCTAGCTCCCCCACCTTTCCCAAAGGCCTTGCTGGGAGTGTGGTGCAGCTGAGCCACAAAGCAAACTTTGGTGCGAGCCACAGCGCATCCCTTTCCTTGCAGATGTTCACTGACAGCAGCACGGTGGAAAGCATCTCGCTCCAGTGTGCGTGCAGCCTGAAAGCCATGATCATGTGTCAGGGCTGTGGTGCGTTCTGTCACGATGACTGTATTGGACCCTCAAAGCTCTGTGTATTGTGCCTTGTGGTGAGATAATAAATTATGGCCATGGGAAAAGTTGTATATTTAGTGTGCGTATTTTGATAATGATTGATCTTACATCTATATACAGGATATCATTGATATAAGAGACTCTGTTTCTCCAGGCAAGAGCACTCTTGCCCCCTCCCTCAAATTTGTAGTGCTGAAGCCCCTCTGTCACTTACCACCTCTTCTGGGCCTGCTGGCGGGGTTTCCTGCCAGGCACCTCCCTGGGCTGCCCAAGGCCGGCTGGCCAGCTTGAGCTCTCATGCAGACAGAGCCTGGTGTGGCGTGGGGAGCCTGCCTTGACACCCAGAGGGACTTGAAACTGAAGAAAGAAGGTTGTGTTCTCCATCAAGGGAACTAACCTACCTGAACTGAGTAGGCATGTCAGTCTTCCACCGCCCGCTCCCTGCCTTCTTCCCTTTCTGCTACTCCCTCGGGGGGAGCCGATGGCTGGGGAAGCCAGGACAGGGTTAAAATCACTCCCAGCAGTGCCCACCAGGGGGCCCAAGCACCTGCTGACCTCAGGGTCACAGTCACTTCTCAGTTGACAGGAGCCAGTTTGACCTTTGGTTCTGTTGCTGAAGCAAATTTGGGACTTTTCTGTCTCGGTACAGTTCACTGGCCCACAGGAGCTTTTGGAACCTTGAATAGACTTGCTCGGACAATGGGGTCGGGCATAGGGTTGTCTTTCCTCTTAAAATGCCATCTGTAGACTTTGTGAGTCAGATGTCCAGATGTTTGGCAGGTGAATTCCTCTGCTTGACACCCTCCCTGTCACTTTGGACTCGATGGGAGTGGGCATCTCCACGCACCTGTGTATGTGAAAGTCATTTTACATTTCAAAGCAGTGTGTGTTTCTTATTTTTATATTTTTAACTCTTTATCCTTGGATGTATAAAGTGAACTTTTTGGCTTCTGTAAGTATGCTCTATGCACCTCTAATGTTTTATCATGTATTTATATGTTGTACACAGTACTGGCTGATTCTGTAAATGGATGTATTGTACAGAGAACACGAGTGTCTCTCCCTTATTATCCGTCTCCCGCGTCATCGCATTAAAGTGGTGTGCTTCTCTCCGCCCGTGTCCGAGCTGCCGCGTGGCCCGGTGCCCTGTCATGGTTGCCCAGTGGACCCGCCGTGGCCTGCAGGGCCACAGCCAGCCCGCCCGTGCTCTGCCGAGCGGACGTGTCTCGCCCCTCACATCTCTGCTCTTCCCACCTTCCGCTCGCCGCTCGCTGCCATACGTGACGAATCACCGCCACCAGTGTGCAGTGCTCTGGAGTCAAGGGTGAGTGCCCTGGGCAGCCCCACGCAGGCTTTCCAGATCTGGCTCCAGGGTTCCCGCCTTCAGCAGTATGTGGGACCCTCTGATGTCCTTTTGACAGCAGGTTGGGGAAGAAACGGCCACGCCCGCTGCCTGCCTCTCCCCACCCTCCCCAACCCACGTCCAGCACATAGACGTCTCCGTAGTTGTCGTCCCCTGCCTTACTTCTTACACGTCGACTCGTTAAAGAGTCGAGAGCCCTCCTTTCTGACTTTGGTCTCCCTGTGTGAGTGCTTCTGGGTGAAGTAGAAAATTGGTGTGACCTCAGCAAGTCTCGTTTCACCTGAAAGACCTCTCCCCTGACCCCCATTTCATCCACTGTGGCATTTTTGTCGTCGGAAGCATGGGTGAGAAGATGGCAGTCACATGGTGGTGTTAATGTGGTATTGGCCAAGTCCGAGTTGTCAACTTTCAGAGTCTGTTTACCAAAGACAGGGAGCAGATCCTCTTCTTCCTTCTGCTGTGACCTTTGGCAGCCTCTAGGCTACAGGTGGAAACTGGTCTGGTCTGTGGGGCTGCCCAGGGAAAGCACTGCTCTTGTATGTCTCTTGTGGTTTTGGAAAAATAAACCTGTACAGCCTGCGCTTGTGGTCTCAGTCGTCTTGTGTGGCCGCCCCGCTGGGCTGGGAAGGAAGGCCAGGAACACAGAAGCCAGCTCGCTTCACCCTGCTTCCAGGGTCCGTGTTCTCGGCCTGGAAGCCGAGAACTTCTTCTTCTGTGAGGTTAGTGCTGAGGGCCCACTTGCCAGTTTCGGTGGTCTGTAGACTCCGGGCATGGTGGCATGCACTGGGAGCGGAGGTCTCACGAGCAGGGTGACGGTGCTCGTCCCAGCTGCCCTGTGGAGACATGCTGCCCCAGAGATTGCTGACGGCTGGTGATCGGCTGGCGATCTGCGGGGGTGGTGGCCAGCAGGCAGCCAGGAGGGGCATGATGCCACGGAAGAGAAGGTTGGATACTCGCGGAGCGGGCCTGAGGGCGGCAGGCTGCAGTCCCCAGACCTACCTGGAGTACTCGCGCGCCGAGTCTGGGCTTAGCCGAAACTACCTCAGCATAGAAATGAGCCAAAAGCAAACAAAAACCACGCTGGAAGTACAGGTGAGTGAAAATACGTACCTGTTAGCTTGTGTCCCGTGAAGTGGTGAAAGGCTCTCTGGTGCACGAGCTTCTGGGGAGCGGTTCGCTGCCGCTGGGCCCGGAAGTGCGGCTGGCAAAGCCGGGGTAGGTGGCTCTGCGGTGACCGGGCAGCCTCCTAGTGGTGACGCTGTGTGTACTTGTGCCGTTGCTGGTCCGTGGGAGCTTAGCAGACATTAGGATGCAGGGTGCAGAGTATGGCGGCGTTCGCGTGCAGGCCCTGCTTCCCACCGGCTCTGGGGCCCGGGCGAGGCAGCCTCTCTGCCCGCGCACCCGTCTCTGAATGGGGACGGTAATACCTACTTCGTAGGGTCCTTCACGCCTGGCACACAGGAGGTACTCCTGACTGTTAACTTGCACCTGGCCAGGATAGTAGCTGCCTGGACTTGGAGCAGACGTCTGTGTGGCTCCTGCCACCTGCCTGCTCCTAGGCCCCAAGGACGGCTGGTGGGGGGGTGGGCCTCCCACGGGGAGGGGTGGTGTGGCCTCTCCTGGGCCATCTGGCTCTTGGCCTCCTGCTGTGGTTGTTGAGTACGCGGTCCTAAGTTGAGAGACTGAGTTCCTGGCAGGGGAGACCGTTGTACTCATTTACCGCTAAAGGATGAGGAAACCCTAATAATGTTTCAGAATATGGAAAAGATACTATTTTACTGGCCGAGTGAGCATCGTGACTGTTTTATGTCCATCCTGCTCTTAAGTCAGATCCTGCTTGAGAGGGGTGTGTGGGTATGTGTGTGTGTGTGCTGAACAGAGTAGCCCGCTGATGATTAGGGGCCTCGGGGGACCAGAGCATCTGCCTGCTTGCCTCCCGAGAGGAGGTGGCATGGCTGGGTTGTGCTTGCGTGGGGGCATCGTCTAAACTGATGGGGAAAGTGGGCTTTGTGACCTTGGAGACTAGGACTTGAAACCAAATGTTGACAGTGCCCCACGCTTCCTCTTGTCTCCGTGCATCAATTTGAAAGCCTGGACTAACTGCCTGCCAAAAGATGTAGACAAAAGCCCTATAAGGAACATAAGTGTGACAAAGAGACAGCTGTCTGTGCAGTGGCTCTTAACCTTTCTTGGATCACAGACGCTTGGAGAACCTGACCGAAGCCCCGGACCCTCTCCCCCAGGAATGCACATCCACATGAGGTTGTGCAGACTATTTCAGAAGGCTCATCTGCTCCTTTAGGCAGCTGGGACCCCTCATTTAAGAGCCCCCTGACTGGCAATAAACTGGTAATAAAATCTGGATTTATACAAAAGATCAAGGAGGGGAGCGAGGACTTTGCAAAGGATTCTTAGGTTTCTGGTAAACTGGGTTTCCCTAGTGCATGATAATTTTTATTTTATTTAAATTCAGTTAATTAACATACAGTGTATTAATTTCAGAGCTAGAGTTCAGTGATTCATCAGTTGCATATAACACCGGTGCTCATTACATCACATGCCCTTCTTAATGCCTGTTACCCAGTTACCCCGCCTGCCCCCCCCCCCCGCAACACTCAGTTTGTTTCCTAGACTTAAGAGTCTCTTAGGGTCTCTCTCTGATTTCGTCTTATTTTCCCCCTCCCTTCCCCTATGCTCCTCTTGTTTTGTTTCTTAAATTCCACAGGAGTGAGATCATATAATTGTCTTTCTCTGATTGATTTATTTCGCTTAGCATAATACCTCATTATTTTTATTATTTTTTTAAGATTTTATTTATTTGACAGAGACACAGCGAGAGAGGGAACACAAGCAGGGGGAGTGGGAGAGGGAGAAGCAGGCTTCCTGCAGAGCAGGGAGTCCGATGTGGGGCTCGATCCCAGGACCCTGGGATCATGACCTGAGCCCAACGACAGCCACCCAGGTGCCCTTCATCATTATTTTTAAATTGTACTTATGTGCATGTTCTCCCCTTCCCCTCCCTGAGTAAAGGGAGGTTTGCCTGTTTTGTCACTGAGTAAATTTCACCGTTCTGTGGGGGCATTGCTCTTTGATGTTGTCCTGTCCACTGTTGACAACAGTGGTGCTGGGGTCCCATGTAAAGAAGTCAGGCGGGGATCAAGAGATGCTTCTCTGTCCTTGAGCGAGGTCTCCTGCTTCCATCATGTGGAGCTGCCGCGCTTCATCTGGAGGTAAGTGCTTTCCCAGCGCCGCTGGAGTGCTCTGCAGGCAGTGGGGCTGGGCTCCGGATGTGCTGGCCCAGGTCGGGGGTTTCCGTGGCCCCTTGGTGATTCTCAGCAGGGCTAGTTTGGGTTAGGACGGGTGTTTCATGGTATCATTGAGGCATTGCGGCCCTTGGTCCCTGCGTTGCGTGAAGAGAGGCATATAACTGCTGTCTTTGGCTTTTACGGTCCCTGCTAATCTTATGAACCTTGGTCCCACACTGGGTTCCCTGGGTGTGGTGGCTTCAAACTATTGCCCCTCTCTGTTTATTTCATATATTTGGGCATTGTATAGAATTTCGGTTTTAAAAAGATTCTTCTGCCATTACAAAAAACAAATGTTTTAAAAACTGCCATGCAATGTGTGTCTGTGTTATCTGTACACACACCACACACACACACACACACACACACACACACACACACACACACACACACTTTTAACAGTAAAACTAACATTTATGCTTGTAACTCGCAGAATTGCTTTTAAACTCATGACAGGTTTGGCCCCAGCCATATTCCTGCAAGTTTTCCTCAAGGTTTAGCCTAAATGATCTATGTAGGATGAAAAAAGTCTGTGCACAAGTAAATAGCACTTTTCCCTCAAGGTGGGCTCAGGAGTTTCAGGGTCAAACGGAACATCAGGTGCTGAAGGTTCAGGCCCTCAGTCTCCCAAGCCAGCACCAAGGGCTGGTGTGTGCGAGCCTGGTTTCAGTGGGGCTGGTGGCGGGCAGGGAGGGTGCACGTCCGCGGGGGGGACCGGTGTGCGCCCCCGGGAGTACACCTGCCACCCGATGAGTGCCAGTGAAGGTTCATTTCCTTCTCTAACGGGCAGGGTTGTCAAAAGAAATGAGAGGCTTATTCGTTTGAGGACAGTTTACCGAGGCCTTCCGTGGTGGGCTGGTGCGCTAGCCAGGAGAGGCAGGGTACTTACCAGCAGAGCGGCGGGCCAGTGTGGCCCTGCACAAACGTGCAGGGAAGAGAGCTAGCTGGCAGGGCTGTTGAGAGGACATGGTGGGAATGAAGCATCCAGTTTGTTATTCAGTGTTTATTAAGTAGATTCAGTCTTATATATGATATACAGATTCAAAAGAAAAAGGATTCCACATACTTATGAAATCAGTGCATTTAGCAAGTAATACCATGGAGATAACAGCTCGATTAACAGCTCATTGGTCTTTTGTTAAGTGAGGGAGAGGGACTTGGCCTGTGCTAGTCATTCCACAAACAAAACAGAATTTAGTTGCATCACATAGAGAAGACACATTCTAAGAATTAAAATATTAAGCCACATTTACTGGAAAAAACTCACTCTATAGAACACAAATCCTTTTTATAGAGCATCGAGGAGGAAGTGCTCACCTGCTTAGAAGAGCCACGTTAAGTTGCATAGGTGCATATCTGTAAAAATATAATTTAGAGATGTAGCCATTGATTAATAAAGAGTCACCTTTAAAAGTTGGTGCCATCCACGGTTTGTCTTAAGTGCCATATGCTTACCGTCTGGAGCCCCCTGCCCCTCCTCAGAACTGAGGCCTCTGGAGTGAGCTGCCTCCAGGGGAGCCCTGAAGGAATGCTTGTACCATCTGCACTGGAAAGTCCGAAAACCTCATCTCAGGGAATTTGCGCACTCCCAAAACATGTCTAAATTATACCGGAGGATTGACAGCCTCTTGGGTCGTCCCTAAATCCTGGGTGGCTTGACCCTGAAGGTCCCACGAGTCACCTTGACCTCCCCACTGCCAGGCTGCTGGGAGACCTCCACCACCCCCCAGCGCTGCCGCGAAGTCCCACTCACACGCTCCGGGAGTCCACGCAGGTGCCCACCAGCAGCTGCTGGGACATTCCCGCTCTGCCCCCTGCTCCTAACGGACCACACCACAGAGGCGTATGGGCCATCTGCCGCACGGAGATTTTTCCGAGCTTAGAAAAAGTTATTTTTCAGCAAATCTTGAGTTCTATGTTGTGTAGGGTTTTCGTTTTTGTTTTTAGGTGGAAACATAGGTAAAAAGAGAGGTTTTTGTTTTGTGGCTTTGCTAAGCAGATGAGCTTAGTGAGGTGCACCTTCCTCCTCAAGAGCGAGTCTTGCAGAACACACAGGGACTGGGGCATCTGTACATGTAAACAGTACACTTTCACTGAGTCCAAAATTAGGAGCAAAAATACAAAGGTTCACATTGGTCTTAGGTAGATACAGGCGAAAAAGGATTGAGCTGTTTAGCTCAGAAACAACAAAAACAAAGTTTCTAAAGCACCACTAAATTATATAAAAATCAGACCATGGACGGATTGAAACTGGTATTCTGGTGAAATACTTTAC